GTGGGGGGGGTGGGGTGGTGGTGGTGGGTGGGTTTAATGGTTATTAACAATCTGCTGTAAGCTCTGACAATCAAATTTCTCAAAAAAACTCATCCAACCAATACGATTTTCTAAAGATTATTTTTATAATGTAAATAAAATGAGAAGCTAGGCATATGTTTGCCAGGGTTAAGTAACTGGGCAACAAGAATCTTCTGAAAAGAAAAAGACACAATTTATGCTAAACAATCAAACCCAAACTCTAAGATGTTAAGCATGAGAGAAAACGTACAATTCTTCCAATGACTTTAATTACTCGAGTAGCACAAAGACCAGTGCTAATGTTCAACAGCAAATCTTGGCCAGATAGCCAAGCTTGCCCTTTATGTGACTTAGTGCTCTCAGGTATGGCAGCGACAGGCTAAGCATCTAGTGTAACCATTGTGCCCTAATGCTTTCAACTGAAATGTCTTTGGTTTTAAAGAGAAAATTTCTATGTTCCAAAAAATAATTCCACATGAGATTATAAAAATGTTCAATAGAACGTGTACTTAAAAAGTATTTATTAATGTCTTAATACACATTCAAGAATGATGATTCTATTTGCTATTGAACCATTTCATAGATGATCATCTACCTCACCCAAGATAGAAGATGAGAGGCATATCATAGGTTCAGAACACTGAAACAAACAGTGAAAAGGAACAAAGTTAGTTAATTTGGGGGGGTGCGTGCATACTCACTTGTGAACTGAAATTCCCCAGTATCATTTGCCTGGGGTGTGGGCAGAAAGTTCTGGCCTTCTTCTGATGCTCCTTCCTCTTTGATTTCCATGATCAACCTTCACAGTTCTTTAAATCTTCCAAATATTTGTGCCCAAATGTCACTGCCAATGATACCTGGTTTAATACAGATGTATCTTCACACTAAAGTCCTGATATCCCACTCTGAAATTCTGCATTTAGGAAACAGCAACAGCAAAAATCTCAGTTACTTCAGAGTTCAGGATAAAGCTAAGAATTAAAGGTAGGTAGAGCCTACAGCTACCTCCATATGAACTTCTTTCCTGCCTATCCCACTTTTACTTTCAGAAACAATCCACCCAGTTAATGTACCATAAACTCTGGGTTAAATGGGTAATCTCTATGCAATCACTTTATAGTCATATGAGGGACTTCTAAATTCTGAAAGGTATATTATTCCTCTTTTAGTTCATTTTGTAAAATAGCAGATAGCTATATGTACCTAATTTAGCAGCAAGAGCAGATAGCATATTGTCCAGGCATTAGCATGTTTTGCTAAGGCGAATCTTGCTATCATTCCTTCCAGTAGAACTGCCCTCTGTGCTCATCTCTCTATCCACCCTTGTTAGAACATTGTTCATGAGCACATAAAGATAATTTGGCAGGACGCTCTCCTTCCAAGGTGAGCCAACACGTTGTTCAGGGGAGCTTCCAACCTCATCATTATCCATAAAGTCTCTTGCTGCTCTGTCTGATGAAGGTTTAATTATTTAATGATTGGGGTATACAGGGAAAAGAATGAATAATAATTCTAAAAAGCTAAAGCTCCAAGGGAAATGAAAATAATGGCAAAATGATGAAAATTAGCATGGGGAAAGAAGCCTCCAAGAATTTAATACCCTGTTGCACAGACAGCCTCAAATAGTATCAGATTCATTTTGATATTTAGCATGTTATACATGACCAAGAACGATTAGGAAAAAAATCAATGTTGTTTAAAATCAAGTTACCAGCTGAATTAAAATGTATAAAAATCTTTAAACGTCTGCCCAATGCTGTTTAATGAGATAGCAGCAGTAGAGTTTGGTTTGGAATACTGATTTGGTTTCCAGCTCCACAAGTCCACAAACTCACTCTTTGTTGTTCTTAACAAAAGCACCTTCATTTATAATTCAGCTCTAGTTTTTAATTATCATCTGGCAAAAATTAAATCCACAAACCATCTTGAATCTTTAGAAACGATTACAATAAGGTTGCAGATAAATACACATTGGCTTCTAAGGATACAACTAGAAATAATTGCTGGGGTAAAGGGCCATAGCACTATCAATAAGACCAAAATCATCAATTTGATAATCATATTTTATTTATCTTTTTATTGAGTTATAGTTCATGTACATTATTATATAAGTTACAGGTGTACAATATTGTGATTCACAATTTTTAAAGTTATAGTGCATTTATAGTTACTATAAAAAATTGGCTATGTTCCCTATGAGGTACAAAATATCCTTGTAGCTTATTTTATACATAATAATTTGTATCTCTTAATCCCCTAACACTATATTGGAAATAAAAGCAAAAATAAACAAATGGGACCTAATAAAACATAAAAGCTTTTGCACAACAAAGGAAACCATTGACAAAATGAAAAGACAACATACTGAGTGGGAGAAAAATATTTGCAAAGTATATGACTGATAAGGGGTTAATATCCAAAATATATAAACAGCTCATAGAATTCAACATTAAGAAACAAACAACCCAGACACAGACTGGCTGAATGGATACAAAAACAAGACCCATATATATGCTGTCTACAAGAGACCCACTTCAGACTTAGGGACACATACAGACTGAAAGTTGAGGGGATAGAAAAAGATATTCCATGCAAATGGAAAACAAAACAAAGCTGGAGTAGCAATTCTCATATCAGACAAAATACTCTTTAAAGTAAAGACTATGACAAGAGACAAAGAAGGACACTACATAATGATCAAGGGATCAATCCAAGAAGAAGATATAACAATTGTAAATATTTATGCACCCAACATAGGAGCAACTCAATACATAAGGCAAATGCTAACAGCCATAAAAGGGGAAATTGACAGTAACACAATCATAGTAGGGGACTTTAACACCCCACTTTCACTTTCACCAATGGACAGATCATCCAAAATGAAAATAAATAAGGAAACATAAGCCTTAAACGATACATTAAAAAAGAAGGACTTAATTGATATTTACAGTACATTCCATCCAAAATCAACAGAATACTCATTCTTCTCAAGTGCTCATGGAATCTTCTCCAGGATAGATCATATCTTGGGTGACAAATCAAGCCTTGATAAACAAGAAAACTGAAACTGTATCAAGGTTCTTTTCTGACCACAAAGCTATGAGACTAGATATCAATTACAGGAAAAAATCCGTAAAAGGGGCTTCCCTGGTGGCGCAGTGGTTGAGAGTCCGCCTGCCGATGCAGGGGACACGGGTTCGTGCCCCGGTCTGGGAGGATCCTGGGTGCCGCGTGAGCCATGGCCGCTGGGCCTGCGCGTCCGGGGCCTGTGCTCCGCGATGGGAGAGGCCACAACAGTGAGAGGCCCGCATATCGCAAAAAAAAAAAAAAATCCGTAAAAAATACACACACACGAAGGCTAAACAATACACTACTTAAAAACCAAGAAATCACTGAAGAAATCAAAGAGGAAATCAAAAAATACCTAGAAACAAATGACAATGAAAACATGAAGACCCAAAACCTACAGGACGCAGCAAAAGCAGTTCTAAGAGGGAAGTTTATAGCAATACAATCCTACCTCAAGAAACAAGAAAAATCTCAAATAAACAACCTAACCTTGCACCTAAAGCAATTAGAGAAAGAAGAACAAAAAAACCACCCAGTTAGCAGAAGGAAAGAAATCATAAAGATCAGATCAGAAATAAATGAAAAAGAAATGAAGGAAAAAAAAAAAAGAAAAGAAATGCAGGAAACAATAGCAAAGATCAATAAAACTAACAGCTGGTTCTTTGAGAAGATAAACAAAATTGATAAACCACTAGCCAGACTCATCAAGAAACAAAGGGAGAAGACTCAAATCAATAGAATTAGAAATGAAACAGGAGAAGTAACAACTGACACTGCAGAAATACAAAGGATCATGGGAGATTACTACAGGCAACTCTATGCCAATAAAATGGACAACCTGGAAGAAATGGACAAATTCTTAGAAGAGCACAACCTTCTAAGACTAAATAACAAAGAAAGAGAAAATATGAACAGACCAATCACAAGCACTGAAATTGAAACTGTGGTTAAAAATCTTCCAACAAACAAAAGCCCAGGACCAGATGGCTTCACAGGCGAATTCTATCAAACATTTAGAGAAGAGCTGACACCTATCCTTCTCAAACTCTTCCAAAATATAGCAGAGGGAGGAACACTCCCCAACTCATTCTACGAGGCCAACATCACCCCGATACCAAAACCAGACAAAGATGTCACAAGGAAATAAACATACAGGTCAATGTCCCTGATAAATATAGATGTAAAAGTCCTCAACAAAATACTAGCAAACAGAATGCAACAGCACATTAAAAGGATCATACACCATGATCAAATGGGGTTTATCCCAGTAATGCATAGATTCTTCAATATATGCAAATGAATCAATGTGATACACCATATTAAAAAATTGAAGAATAAAAACCATATGATCATCTCATAGATTTAGAAAAAGCTTTTGACAAAATTCAACAACAACATATGATAAAAAGCATCCAGAAAGTAGGCATAGAGGGAACTTATCTCAACATAATAAAGGCCATATGTAACAAACCCACAGCCAACATCATTCTCAGTGGTGAAAAACTGAAACCATTTCCACTAAGATCAGGAACAAGACAAGGTTGTCCCCTCTCACCACTATTATTCAACATAGTTTTGGAAGTTTTAGCCACAGCAATCAGAGAAGAAAAAGAAATAAAAAGAATCGAAATCAGAAAAGAGGAAGTAAAGCTGTCACTGTTTGCAGATGACATGATACTATATATAACGAACCCTAAAGATGCTACCAGAAAACTACTAGAGCTAATCAATGAATTTGGTAAAGTTGCAGTATACAAAATTAATGCCCCAAAATCTCTTGCATCCCTATACCCTAATGATGAAAAATCTGAAAGAGAAATTAAGGAAACACTCCCATTTACCACTGCAACAAAAAGAATAAAATATCTAGCAATAAACCTACCTAAGGAGACAAAAGACCTGTATGCAGGAAACTATAAGACACTGATGAAAGAAATTAAAGATGATACAAACAGATGGAGAGATATATCATGTTCTTGGATTAGAAGAATCAACATTGTGAAAATGACTCTACTACCCAAAGCAATCTACAGGTTCAATGCAATCCCTATCAAACTACCAATGGCATTTTTCACAGAACTAGAACAAAAACTTTCACAATTTGTATGGAAATACAAAAGACCCTGAATAGCCAAAGCAATCTTGAGAAAGAAAAATGGAGCTGGAGGAATCAGGCTCCTGGACTTCAGACTATACTAAAAATCTACGGTAATCAAGACAATATGGTACTGGCACAAAAACAGAAATATAGATCAATGGAACAGGATAGGAAGCCCAAAGATACAACCACGTATATATGGTCCCCTTATCTTTGATAAAGGAGGTAGGAACATACAATGGAGAAAACACAGCCTCTTCAATAAGTGGTGCTGGGAAAACTGGACAGCTACATGCAAAACAAAGAAATTAGAACACTCACTAACACCATACACAAAAATAAACTCAAAATTGATTAAAGACCTAAATGTAAGGCCAGACACTATAAAACTCTTAGAGGAAAACATAGGCAGAACATTCTATGACATAAATCACAGCAAGATCCTTTTTGACCCACCTCCTAGAAAAATGGATATAAAAACAAAAATAAACAAATGGGACCTAAGGAAACTTAAAAGCTTTTGCACAGCAAAGGAAACCATAAACAAGATGAAAAGATAACCCTCAGAATGGGAGAAAATATTTGCAAATGAAGCAACTGCCAAAGGATTGATCTCCAAAATTTA